TCGAATTGATAATGATCAATAACTGATAAGCTGATAAACCAATAAATTGATATCTTACACTCTGTTTGGATCATTGTTACCCATTGTATTGTATTTTATTATTATTATACCTACAATGTTTGTTTTGATTGTTACTTAAAATGTATTGTATTGTTATGTTAAATTCCGTTGTTACTGAAAACCCCTATTTTATGGAACAACCAATTTGGTGTGTTTCCATTGTTACTTTTTTTTTTCAATTATATCTTTACATAATATTTCATAATACTATTTTACCCTTTATCTTATATTATTTAATTTTAGTCAAACCTCCTACCCTAGAATAATTAAGAATATTTTAGTAAATTTATAAATTACAATACAATACGATACAGTCAAACCAAACAATAAAAATGTTATTAAACAACAACAAACAATATAGTCTAGCCAAACATTGTATCTACCATAGAGTACAATACAATACATTATGAAACAAGGGTAACAATGATCCAACCGATAAATCGATAACTAATAAATTGAATTAATAAATTTTAAAAATCAAACCGATACGTAGCCTCCGTGCAAATCAAAAGCAATTCAATACTCAAAAAAAGTATTAGTGGATTGTGTTACGACAATTTTTTACTTTAAACGATATACCCAGTGAAATCTGCATGATAAGTGTCAGTTTTGACTTATTTTAATCCCATAAACAAATTCTTTTAATGTAAACAATGAACGATAAAATAATTAATGAGCTTAATATTTTTTTTCCATTTCAATGAGCCTCGTTTTAACTTCTTTTCACCTTGATAAGGAAAATAATAAATACAAATACTCCATATGTTCAATAATAGTTGTCTACTATTGATTTGATAAATATTAAGGCCTAGGGGCCCTTATTAAAGATAAGCCATCTAAATATTGAAAAATAAATACTCATTTATTAGCAAGGGTAAAATAGACATAACATGGTAAATTATTTATTGATTTTATAAATTGGACAAATATCGTTGGACATCCCAAAATAACATACATGGGCAAGTAAAGATAGACAGAGGGAGCATCATTTGTCAAGTTATCCATAGGGATGGCAATGGGGCGATGTGGGGAGGGGGTGGGGCGGGTTGAGCTTAACCCGCATAATTTTTAATCCGCCCCACCGGCCCCGCATAGACCCGCCCCGCATAACTTTTTAAATATTTTCTTTTTCTAGTTAAGTTTGATAATAAAAATAAAATTCAAAAAAAGAAATTCATTTTTTCATTAAGTTGTATTAATTTAATAGGATAGTAACTTAAAATTTTATTTTTTAGAGGTCAATTGGTAACATGTAAGAAATTCTATTATTTTTTATTGAACCATTTTCATTTACTATCTTGAATATTTTAGTAGTTTTAATGAAATTATTTTAATAAATAATTCTCTATCACTCTTATAACATGTAAGAAGTTAAAATTAAATTTGAACTCACATGAAATCGCATATACCCGCTACAAGAGAACATGTGATTAGCTACCGATGTTAGCTTTGAATCTAAAATCCCTAGCTAAAATATAATATTAGCTATGAAATTACTAGGAAATACGTATTTCCTAGCAAACGTTTTGACTTCAAAATCTAGGTAGATAATCGCTAGGAATAGTCCCTAGCTAAACTGTAGCTTCGCAATTCCTCTAGCTAAGTCTAACGCTAAATATTTTCTGGAATCTATTGAAACAAAATTTTTGGTGTACCAATTTCTAACTCCTATTCATAACTCTCTGTCTAAACCTAATGATCATATGTTGTTGCGGATAATTAATTATGAAATTAAAAAGTTTAATTTTGCATTTGTCATGGGACATGATGTTGCTTATATGGAGAAGTTATGATATTGAATTGTGTTAAAATAGTTTTTCTTTCTGAAGAATATTTTGTTATCTTGTGTTTGCAGATGATTAATTTGATTATGGTGATTTGTATATTAGGTTGAATTTTAGATGGTTTGTTCTCTACTCATCAGTTTGATTAAATACATTTCTAAAGGGCATACCATTTTGAAATGGTTGTGCAAATAAATGCATAAGTATAGTTAATGAATTAGTGTAATTTGAATGGATTCAATTATTTATTTCATGATATGTGAAATTTTAGTAATTTTGGTTGCTTCTAAAAGTAAGCTAGGGGTCATGAAAACATATAACAAATCAAGCCAAGAAAAAGCTATGATGTTTACATATTAGTGTCCAAGCAAAAGAGAGTTGTTTGCTATGAAGTTACCTAGGAATAATCCTAGTTATTATTTGCTTGGATATGTTGCCTAGCAAAATATTCTAGCTACATTAGCTAGGCTAACAACGTTTTCCTAGCAAAATTTTAGCTAAGAGCGTATTAGCTACAAAAGGTTGCTACGGTCATTTTCCTAGCAAAAATGATGTTAGCTAGGAATTTTGTAAGTTAGCTAGGGATTTAGTCTCTCGCTAATGGCATGCTCTTTTGTAGTCAATACGCCCCGCCCCGTCCCACATTAATTTTTAAAAAACCTACTTCAATCCGCCCCGCATCCCACCCGCCCCGCTCCATTGCCATCCCTAGTTATCCATACTTATTACTCTCTTTGTTCTAAATAAATTACTCCATTTGTTCCTAATTACTTGTCCAATTTTCCCTTTTTACTCGTCCATGTTGACAAAAAGAAAGTACAATTTCTTTACATGTTATACCCTCAATTAATTAATTTTGAAAAAGATAAATTTCTTGAAAATTTTAAAGTTTTAATTCATCCACTTCATAATTAGTAAGGACAAAATATTAAACTTATTATGTCATCATTGTTTTCTTAATAGATATGTCAATTCAAAAGTGAACAAGTAATTAGAGAAATTGTGAGTAATTTTTAGAGTGTTGCACATCCTTAAGAAAGTTAATAAATGACATTAATTAAAGAATAATTTGCAATATTATCTTTTTGCTTTTTTCACAAACTTTTCTTACTCCCCTTTTCAAAATAATTGATATTTCTTTATCGTTTTATTTTCGTATTTTATCCTTCATTCATTATTTTTTTAGGAAAATAAGTTGAAAATAATTAAAAGAATAATAGCAGAGAGTAGCATGTCATTAAACATTTTTTTGTTTGTAAAAATATGTTATATCCCAACTTTTTACTTTTATCAGTCTATGGTTGAAAGAAAAAAGGCGGAATGGCCTGGGAGACTCTTGTACTTGACTTCATTTGTAAGTTAAATCCTTATACTTACGACTTTGTTAATTGAACCCTTAAACTTATTGAAAAACAATATTTTAAGTCATTTTCTCATCCTATGTGTGTGCGTGTAGTACACTTGTTTACACATGGAATTCCATGTCATTCTTAATGACACATAAGAAATTAAATGTCAAAAAAAAAAACTATTTTTCATATTCTGAAAATTTTGAACATAATATTCTCCATATTTGCTCTCAAATTGAGCACCAAATTCATGTCAAATGGGTGAAATTCTTACCTATTTGACTTTAATTTCACATTCACATAAACAAACCCAACGAATTTCCATTACAATTTTGAATTTATTTCATAAAAAATAACAAAACCCATTTATTTTTCTCGAAGCTTCATCAAGCATATTAATGAAGTTTTTTCAATTTTTCAAAACCCACTATCACCCTTCACATTAGCTCATACAAAATTCAAAAAATACTCACGAAGTTGATATTTTAGGGTGGAAATGTGGAAAACGAAAAGGACTACAAGTGATCTTGATTTGCCGCAAAAGAAGAAATTTTTGAGAAAATATTTCGGGGTGGTGCAGAAGAAATTTGGTTGGGTTGGATGGATGGAGGGACAGTGGCGTCTCTACGAAGAAGATGACTTACCATCTTTCTATTTTTTGGCGTTCTTTTTTAAACTTTTTTTTTTTAATGATGTTTAATAGAAAATATTATACTCACTCGCCTTAACACGCGTGGAATTAACTAGGGGTGGGTATAAATACCGAAAAACCGAACCGAATCGAAAAAATTCGGTTCTTCGGTGTTTCGGTTCGATGTCGGTTTTTTTTCCGGAACTTTGGTTCTTCGGTTCGGAGTTCGGTGTAAGGATCCCGAAACTACGGTGCACCGAAGAACCGAAGTTTTATTAAATAAATTTAAAAGTATTTATTATATTACTTAATTTTTAACTTTACTTGGCCCATTTCAATTTTTATATTTAGATCCTAAACTTAAATAGCAAAAATCTTAATAACAAAATAGTAAACCCTAAAGACCTAAAGTCTAACTAAACAAAACTCAATTTAATTCAAGTTTGAGCAGCAACTTGGTGTTTCTACTTTTTACTTTATGATTTTATCATTTTATGTTGTTACTTTGAAGTGAGAACAACAAATTGATGCTCTTACCTTCTATTGTTAGATGGTTAGTTGTTATTTTGAAGTTTGAAGTGTGAATTGAATAACAGTTGTTACTTTATCATATTCTTTTTTTTATTTTTGTTGACACCGAAAAATTGATTTTAAAACACCGAACTAAATCGAACCGATCTAGTTTGGTTTGAAATATGGTGCACACTTTTCTAAAATTGAATACCGAAGAACCGAACGCCCACCCCTAGAATTAACCATTATTCTAAGTCAGCAATATCGGTGCCACATGTATTCGATCAATGGTCAAAAGTGTTTAAAATATTGTGTTTCAATAATTATAAGAGTTCAGTTGACAAAATCATAAGTACACGAATTTAACTTACAAACAAAGCCAAGTACAAGGGTCTCTTAGATTATTCCGTCAAAAAAAATTTGGACAATTAAAGAGATTGTCCCAACAGCTACTTTAGTTGTTCGAAAAAAATCACCAAATTATTGAAAAAAAATATTTTCTCTCCAATTCACAAAATTCATATAATCCAAAAAACAAATAAAAACAAAAAAAATACAATAGGTAAGAGAGAAATAGAGAATGCTATAAAAAATTCAAATGAGTCCCAATTTGTCACTTTTATTTAATTGATTGAAGACTCAAGATCTTTTGAGCTCATTTTTCTCATACTAGAATAGTAGCTAACCAGTGCATCCCCTGTGTAGCTTCTTCTCATCAAGCATTTGGTGTTTGAAAATGGAGCACAACTCCCAAATCCAAATTCCTAAAGTAAAATTGGGCACACAAGGGCTTGAGGTAATACAAATTTTCAGCTATGATTTCAATTTCTGTTCTTTTATTAAAAAAAAAAACAAAACTTTATAAGTTAAGCATTCTTGTAATTTATGCACAAAACTGGAACTGGAGCTGTAAAAAAAATTTTGACAACCAATTAGCCCCCATTTGGGCATAAATTTTGAAGTTGAAACTTGAAATGAGTTTTTGAAACTGTGATTTTTGGAAGTTGAAGCTGTGTTAGCTTACTTTCTGGTGGATCTTTTTATTATTTTTTTTGGTTCAGAATCCATTTTAGATTTCTGGGTTACCATGTAAACAGCTTCACTGTATACATATTATCTTTTTCCGAAGTTAAAGCTATAGTATTGAAAAAAAAAAAAAGTAAGAGAAATTTTAATGGTGTAAGAGTTTGACAATTTTATTTTGAAAAAAAGAAGAGAAAATGATTATGATCCCAAGATTGTAGCTAAACTTGGAATGGGTATCAATATGAAAGCAGAAATCTTAGTAGCTCAGTTTATTGGTGGTCTGAACTTTAACCTTGTTGGTGAGAGGCATCGATTCTCCACCTTATAATCTCCATCCCCTACCCATTTTTTTTTAAAGGGACATCAATATGAATTTATTTTTACTTGTGTCTTTGTGCCCACAAAGGTAGGGATAAGGTCTACGTATACCATACTCTCTCCAGACCTCACTTGTGGAACTATACTGAATATGTTGTTTGTTGTTGCTGCTTGTGTTTATACCTATCCAGAAACTTGGTATTTTTTTTCCTTTTTAGCTTTTTGCCTTCAACAAAACTGAGTCACAAAGCTTATAGTTACACTTTGTACATGCAATTATCCCACTTTTCATTCTCCTTGAGTATCTTATCATTCCAGCTATTCACTGAACTGAGAGATTAATGTATTTTGACTGTTTGAAGAAAAAGGTTGTTCAATCTAGAAATTATGAAATTCTTGCGAGTGATGATAAAATTCTTGCTAAAAGAAAAGCCAACAGATTACTTAGCTTCTACGTTATAACAGAAATTTAAACAATTAGATCAATCTTTTCTTGTTGCTAGGTCTCGAAACTAGGCTTTGGCTGTTTAGGACTTTCTGGAATATTAAATACTCCTCTGTCACATGAAGCTGGATGCTCAATCTTAAAGGAAACATTCAATAAAGGCATCACCTTCTTTGACACATCCGATCTATATGGACATGAAGGCGACAACGAAATAATGATTGGAAAGGTATGTTCGGTTTGATGATGGAAAGAAAGGATAAATGTTCCGTTTGAAGATTTTTGACCAATAAAATCACTCAAGTGTTTCTGAGACATGTTTTTCTTTCTTAAGCTATCACATTTTTACTGTTACCTTTGTCAAAAAAAAGCTATCACATTTTCTTTTCGTTAAAGGTCATTTTGCGATAACCAGGCGCTGAAGCAGCTTCCTCGTGAGCAAGTCCAACTGGCAACCAAATTTGGGTTGTTAGTTTCTGAGGACTTCCAGTTTCATGTCAAAGGCACTCCAGAACATGTACGGAAATGCTGCGAAGAAAGTCTGAAGCGGCTTGATGTAGACTACATCGATCTATATTACCCTCACAGAATAGACACAACTGTGCCAATAGAGGAAACTGTAAGTTCGATCTTTATCCATTGTTCTTACCTATTCTGATGTATGTAGTACAAGGTGAACTTGATTTACTTGAACCAACTTAATGATTGAAGATGGGGGAACTCAAGAAATTAGTGGAGGAGGGAAAGATTAGGTACATTGGCTTATCGGAAGCCAGTGTGGACACAATTAAGAGGGCACATGCTGTTCATGCCATTACTGCTGTACAATTGGAGTATTCTCTTTGGACCCGTGATATAGAAGAGGATGTCATTCCGCTTTGTAGGTGTGTTCGAAATTAATAACTTTCCTTCCTCTCAAAAATTAAGCCATATCCTTAATATTTTCCTTGCCTCCTTTATTCAGGGAACTAGGCATTGGGATTGTTGCCTATAGCCCCCTCGGCCACGGTTTCTTTGCTGGGAAGGCAGTGACAGAAAGCTTGCCTACGGGAAGTATAATGGTAAGTAAATGCTAGAAAAGCATATGAAGATCATGGTCGATACTATTATCAGCTATGTTGCTCGGACTCTCCAAAAATGCAGCTGCACCCGTGTGGGATCCTCTAAAGATGCACTACTTTTGGACATGCACCCAAGTGACATTTTTGAAGAGTCCGAGCAACATAGGGTATCAGTGAGGTATCATATATCATTGTTACTATCATCTAGTGATAAAGTATTCATCATTCATCTTTTATTGTTTGTTACAACCATGTAAATAGAGAGTGAACACGGTTTGAAAGAACTGACAGAGGAAATGGCACAGCCAGCCACTTTTATGTCGCTTTTGTAATATAGCAACATAGTGTAAAATAGGGATACATGGTTCTTTTGAGGTGCTTGAAAATGAGACCTTAGTACAAAAAAATTGATTACATGTTAGGGAGTTCAATAAAGATGAATTAAAAAACGTGGAGTTAGGTTTGTTATTTGAGTCTCTTTTTTACTTCAGGGCTCGCACCCAAGGTTTAATGAACAGAATTTGGAGAAAAACAAAGTTCTATACTCACGATTCGCTAGCTTAGCAGCAAAGCATGGTTGTACACCTCCTCAACTAGCATTAGCATGGCTTATGCATCAGGGAGATGATGTGGTTCCAATACCTGGTACGATACCTTCTTCATTACATATGTTTATACACATCAAGTTACATTTTCTACTGCAATACTTTCATGTATCTAAATGTACGCGTATTCAAGACTAGCTGTCCTCCCCTTCCATCCATTGTGGCGAAATAATCTAGTGGTGTCTTGTTTAACCTTTTATATGAGTTGAAATACTCTGCTGCTGTATTGCAGGGACAACAAAGATCAAGAACCTCAATGACAATGTCCAATCTCTAGGAGTGAAACTTACACCGGACGATTTGAAGGAAATTATTGACTCAGTTCCTATTAGTGAAGTGTGTGGAGAAAAAGACGATGCAGTGATCTCAAAGTACAGTTATCGGTTTGCTAATACACCATTAAAGCAGTAAAATTGCGTCCGCGATTACTGGTGTAAATGGACTAAATCACCATTATGTGTTTCAATAAGTGAACTCATCCTTTGATTGTCTACCCCTTGTCAATTTAATTGCCAGGATATTGACATTCCTAGGTTAAGCTTCCACAAGCAAATTTTATGCTATAAAACATTCTCCTTTTATCATTTAAAATAGTTTTGTTGTTGTTTTCCTACCAGTACTATTAATAATGACATCATAATAGCAGTATATTCTGTAAATTACCCTTCAAAATCTAAAAGACATATACAAAATTTGCTTGACTTTCGAAATTCTATCAATGACACATAAATTGGGACAAAGAGAATATTGAAATACATATAAAGTATTATTAACCACAATAATCAACAACTTAAAATTTAAAGAACTTACAAAAAAATTGTTTGACCGTTAAAATTTTATTAATGTCGCATAAATTAAAATTAAAATTAAAAATAAAAATAAAAATATATGTTGGGCCCGTGCTAGCACGGGCTACTATAACTAGTATATACATATACAACAACTAGAGCCGTCAAAATGGGCTTAGCCCATGGGGCCGGCCCAACCTACCCGTTAGTGGGATAGGGTTGGGATAGAAATTTTCAAGCCCATTTAAAACTAGGCGAAATGGTATGGTGGACCCTTATACTTGTATCAGTTTGTAGTATGAACCCTTCTACTTACACCTTTGTCATCTGGACACTTAAACTCAATAAAACGCAATTTAACAAACCCCTCTGACCATTGATCATGCTTACGTGGCATTAGGATGTCTGAGTTGGCCAAAGTGTGTAACTACACGCCTATTAAGGCGAGTGAGGAGCATTTTTACTTTAAAAAATATTAAAAATTATAAAAAAATAATTTTAAAAATATTTTTAAACCATTAATTAAAAAACTCCTTCTTCACCCATTACATCTCATTTTCAGCCATATTCATCCCCTACCCAACCCTTTTTTTCTTTTTTTCCACAATCTATTTTCATTTATTTAGATTATCTTGGGCACCTCATTGAGTCAACTAATTCACCAATGGAGGGAGACAACGATGCTAGTGGTGCGATCGCCGGACACCATTGATACATAGTGGAGTGAGAGAGAGGCGCAGCTGGTCAACGAAGAGAAAAACGAGGTGGGTGAGGGTGCGAGGATCTAATCATGGTGGCGAAAATGGTCGTGATGTGTGGCGGAGATGAAGGCAGGTAAAAGAAGGAATATGAGTGGTTTCGCCGGCAACAATGGCGACGGCGGCGACGGTTTGGACCATGAAACAGTGGGAAGGGGAGAAACAATAATGGGTAGATTTCGACGAGTTTCACGGCAGAGATTGGTGTGAAATTGTATTTGTAAGCAATTTGGGGTGTGAAAATAGTATTCGATGTTGGATTACGAAAAGTTTGGCCAGATCTGGTTGTGCGGTGGCTTAGGTTGTTGTTACTGTGTAGATTGGAGGAGGAAAGAAAAATAGTGATGGTGTGGGGCGGAGATGAAGATGGGTGAGGGAGAAAGCATATGTGATTTCGCCGGCAAAAATGGCACGACGCCGGCAATGACTTTCTTTTGGTCGTGAAATAGGGAGAATTAGAAATGCCAATAATAAATTAAAATGTTATTATTTTACATTTTATTAAATAATTTTGGTTAATAATTTTTAAAAATAGTTATGAAATAATTATGATGTGGCATTAATATATTTGACGTGGATATGACATGTCAATTATATAAAGGAGAGTGAGCTACACACATGGTTGGAAGGGCTTAAAAGTCTCATTTTAATTGAGTTTAAGGGTCCAGATGACAAAGGTGTAAGTATAAGGGTTCAAAATACAAACTGATACAAGTATAAGGGTCCACCATACCATTTCGCTTTTAAAAGTAAGGCTTATTAGCCCGGCCCATATAAGTCCTTGACTCTTGAGGCTTGATAGGGGCTGCGTCGGGGTCGGCCCATGGGTCAAAACTTTTTACTTAAGAGTAATTTACAATAATCTCACTAATATATAATCTAATTATTTGAATACACGCTATGTTGTAATATTATAACTCTTCGTACCAAATACATGTATCTCGAAATATATGAACTAAAAATTAGGTTAATTTGTTCTAGATACACTCTATCCAAGTAGATTCACATGTATCTAGGATACATATACAAATCTCGAGCCCTCGCCTCCCTCTCATCTTGCTTGAAACTCTCTTATCTCACTCGCATATCTGGTATGTGAGATACATGCTAATTACTCTAGAGTTTTGCTAGTGTTATTGAAAGAACACCATTATTTGATTTGAAAATCTTCTCATTTTCTTGATGTTATAGAATTATAAGTTCGAAAATATTTTTTTTTAAAAAAAAGAATAATAGAAGAGCTAGCCCGCCCCAGCCTTCAACCCTTATAGGATTTGATTGGATTGAGCATTTTCAGGTCCTACCAAATGAAGGACCGGCCCGCCCTAGCTCTTCAAATTTCTTGACTCGCGAGGCTTGGGCAGGGTGGAACTGGACCGGTCATTTTTGACAGCTCTAACGACAACACCTCATTTATAAAGAAGGTCATGAAACTTTTAGACAATCACTATAACTATAGAGAGATTCAATTGTACTAGTAAAAATTTCATGAAAAATAGAGAAAAAATTATTTTGTTTCATTTTGTTTTTCTTCCTTTATATCTATTCTATTTTTTGACGATTTTTAAATTTTCACATAATTATTTATGACTATAAAATTTTTAAAAAGAAAGTACTCTATTTGAAGTTTCGTGAATATTTTAATAGTAAAGACGGAGGGAAATATTAGAGGGTATTCCAAAAATTAAAAGTACCGCCATATCCACGCTGGCAATCCTCGTACCTTTATTTCAACCAATTAGAACACACCATACGTTACTATATATATAACTCCACTCCCTCTATTTCTCCGTATCACATTTCACCATCTTCCTTCTCTCTGTCTCTGCAACTCCGAATCTAGGGTTAGGGTTTTTTCGTAAGAGAAAAAAAAAATGACTTCAGGTGCTGGAGCAGGTAAAGGCGGCGCCGGAAGAGGCAAGCCAAAGGCAACGAAATCGGTTTCTCGATCTTCAAAAGCCGGTCTTCAATTTCCCGTCGGTAGGATCGCTCGTTTCCTTAAGGCAGGAAAGTACGCTGAACGTGTCGGTGCTGGTGCTCCTGTGTATCTCTCCGCCGTCCTTGAGTATCTCGCCGCTGAGGTAATTTATTTTGCTAATTTTTGACTAATTTATGCTCAAAGCATTCTGCATGTTAGTGAAATCGTGTTTATCCTAGTTTATTAGTGAATTTTTTAACAATTAATTGATAGATTTCATAATTAGCTGAAATAATTTAATTGTTTCTGCATAAAATTAAGCGGTTTTACACAAATTGTTGCACATGCTTGATTTTTTTGTATAGATAGTTGTGAAATGTTGTTTAAGTATTGTTAATGTAAATGGAATTCTAAGTTTGTAAGGTTTGTGTTAATTTAGGTGTTGGAGTTGGCTGGGAATGCTGCTAGAGACAACAAGAAGAATCGAATTGTGCCTAGGCACATTCAGTTGGCTGTGAGGAATGATGAGGAGTTGAGCAAGCTGTTGGGTCATGTTACCATTGCTAATGGAGGTGTTTTGCCCAACATTCACCAGAATTTGTTGCCTAAGAAGGCTGGATCTGGAAAGGGTGATATTGGCTCTGCATCTCAGGAGTTTTAGATGTAAATGGGTGTTGTGTTTTGGGAAGTATTACGAGAAAGGAGTAGAACTTGTTATGTAATATAAAAATACCCTTTTGTTATTCTGTTATTCAATGGTATGAAATGAAAAAAAGGGCAATGGCCACCTGCAGTTTTGGTTATAGATGTTTTAGTTCTTGCTCATTGCAATTCTATGCTTTTCTTTGTCGATACCAACTTTTCTGATTTTGATTAATTGAGCTTCTTCTGTGCCTTTGCTTCAATTTGTTATTGAAAGCCTTTGTGTCTAGTGTTGGATGCAGAAAGCAGAGCTTGCTGTACCCATCCCAGTACACAATCTACATGTAACGTGCAACAAAAATCAATTTCATTTGAAACAAGAGTGGTATTTTTAGTCTATCATACTGACCAAAAGAAAAATAAAGATTAATATGAAGTCATAAGTAGTATAGCACTCATATGAACATATTATGTTGCCAAAGTTGGCATATCAAAGTCTATTGAAATAGCAAACACGATTTGATAGCACTTGAGATTGTGTTGTCTTTTTTGCAGTTTTTGTTGGTCAAAACTATGTGGTATGGTTCGACAACTATCATTTCTGAATTATTTGGCCCACTCATGCAATGAGATCAAGGGTACTTCCAATAAGAAGTATATTGGATTGTTTCATTTCGGGGTGGTTTTTAATTTTTGTCCATGCTTCTCATTTAATATTTTGTCACAATGAACCTCCAATCCCCAAATTAGAGCATACAATACGCATAATTGATACAAGAAGCCTGGTCAAGGGAACTTGCCAACACTGTCAACCACAAAAGTAAACCTCCTCCTGGGTACAAAACAGATGAGTTCCCTCATCTTCCACCTTGATAGGATAACATAATCTTGAGATTAGCTAATACCTCGAGGTACCATGTGACGTTCAAAAAGAATTATTCAGATCATATTCGAGGAGGGAATTTATGTCTTATTTTCTTCAACTATTAGATTTATAATTAGGGAAAAAGGACAAATATACCCCCGAACTATCATAAATGGTATGCAGATATCCTCCGTCATACTTTTGGGACACTGATGCCCCTGCCGTCCAAAAACTAGAGCGTATATACCCTTCACTCTAACGGAAGATTAAATAGGGACACATGGTACAATCTTATCCATCGATCTGATGTCGGGTCGGTGGATAAGATTATGACACGTGTATGTCCGTTAGTATAAAGGGTATATGCTTTAGTTTTTGGACAATAGGGGTACCAATGTCCCAAAAGTATGACAGAGGGTACCTACATACCATTTACGATAGTTAGGGGATATATTTGTCTTTTTACCCTTTATAATTATGAAGAATCACAAAATGTGTATCATACTTTTACTCTCATATAACAAAACCAGTACAATTCCATACGTAGGGTCTGAGAATGATATAATGTACGTATATGTTGCTACTGTAATAGAAATTAGTTCTTGAAGCAGCAGTTCGAGCCTGATGCATGGCACTATCATATATGTAAGTAGCAGATCAATCTCAATCTAGTACCATCTACAAACATTCAAGGGAAGTTGGAGAAGATTTGCTAAATGCTTTGTCACGACGAACCTTCAAGTCCCAATTTAGTCATACAAATCGATAATAATAAGCAATTAGTGAGCGGAAACAAGATCATAATAAACATATGTCTTGCTCTCTGGACATGGAAATAACATTAGAACATCATAATGAACATTGTGAACAGTTTTTATCCGTTAGAAAAATTATACGAGACTGGAAATGGAAGAAACACCATGCTTCTGTAACAGCTTCATCATTTCAATCTGTGGCATCAGTATCGGGTGGATTTAGTTGTTCTTAACATCAGCTTTCACCTCCTGAAAGATCGATAGGACACAAAAGTTAACAAAAAAACACCTTCCTGATACGTAATGACATGTGAAAGAGGAGAAAATTTAGCAGGATGGATTAATCGTTCTTAATAGCAGCTTTTACTCCCTGAAAGCTGAACAATAGAAATGTAAACACCCTACTTATCTATCATGATCTGTAAATAGTAAAAGTGGGGTATCTGGTAAGGTGCAACACATATGACTGTTCTCAAGCACGGGTCATACACAAACACAAACTAAAACGAGAGTTACTTTCCTTGTTTATCGCAAAAGGATAGTTTTCATTTCACGACAATGTGCATTGAGCTCCTGTCATCTAGTATGCATAGAACATGAGCAAATATATGGTAGTTACATTATTTAAAAAATAGCCAGCATGAGGCAGAAGCTTCCATCCTTTCACCAACAACTCTAGTACTAATCAATATGCATCTTTACAAGTCCTTATTCTCTTGTCTTGATAAGTCTCATGAAAGACATCCTTAATATCTTAATGTAAACAAAACAAACGGAACCATGGCATCAAGTTTATCAAAAGGTCAAGATTATTTACTTGATCTAGAGAACATTTAAGATTGTCAAATAAACAGTTGTGTCAATGACCACATATTACTTGAGATGCATTAAAGTAAGGTACTAGTTTCTTAACTTTGACAAACCATGAAATTTGAAAACTCAGAAAGTTATTAATTTAAAGAGAATTCGCAAGACACAAGATTACAATGTCATCAGTAATGAGTGATGGCTACAAGAGTTCTGTTTTAAAAAGAAGGTGTAAACACTTTCCCCAGCTCTGTTTAAGATAAAATAAACTTGGTAAGTGAATAGGATTCAGACCTCCTCTTAAATCAGGATTTATTTCTCTCCTTATTCCGCTAATATCTCTAGTCCTACAGGTGGATTTTCTCGTCTCAACTGTCCTTCAATGACAAGTAAATCAGATAACATGTAAGCAACAATGGAAACCACCAAAACCAAATATTATATCTGACCTTAAGTTTTATTACATGTTAAGTAGTTCCTTATCAAGATTCACTATAAAGAGGATTAGCAATAAATCCCCTAAAAATCCTGGCAAAGACTATGCCTAGTGTTATTGGCGCATTCATATTGCATGATTTTCATGTCCCTGATGCTCTTTATCTTACTCTATCTAGAGGGACATCACATTCCCTTAAAACACCAAACACTACAACCAAATAACTATCACAAAAAGAAGTTATTTCATGAAAATATGCAAAAAGGGAAAGTACAAATAAGATCTCCAAGCAGATGTGCTGAGAGGATGTCCGTAAAATATGGGACTGTTTCTCTATATTTGAGAAAGAAACAGAAAAATGTATAGCGTGGAACTCTTACAAGTCATTAGCTACAACATTGTCATTCATCTGAGATTCTGCATCTTGTTCTTGTTCTAAGCTTTATTTGTCCCGAAAAGCGGGGCACAAACTAGGCTTTCAATGTAGATGTTTGCCGCATTACAGTAACCAAAGTTGATAACCTTAAGATATCTGATAGGTTCATCCTCTGGATTGTGTGCAGTTAAAGTCGATCTAGGCACAAGCAATATCTCACCTTTGTTTGACATGCAAAGTGTTAAAGAAATAAAAGGAGAAAAGTCAAAACACATTAGGAGAATATTTGATGGAATATGTTTTTGTCCAAGACTCTTTAACTCCATACTCTTTCAAAACCCACATATCTGCATGACTCGTCGTCATAAAGTTACGACTCATAGTCTTATAGTTACAAAACACAGACAGATCACTTCCCAACATTTCAAGCTTCAAAGAAAAGTTTTTTTTTCCATAGTCAGGCTGCTCCACCTTTCCCCATCTCTCATCAGCCAAATCAATTGAAATGATGTTCCCGTAGTTACGAAAACCACCATTCATATCATTAACCCAATGAAGCTTCCCATTTAAAAACTTACATGGCTTAGTTAATTGCACCACTTCCAGAATATCCCCTTTAGTTCTCCAAGAATTGTTCTTTAGACTATATATTTTGACCTCAAGCGGATAACGTGTGCAACTACAACGCACACCTACTACCTTATAATCATCACTGAACTCATCATATCCAAAACCATACATGACACTAGTAATTCTATCGAGACGGGAACCACCACTTAATCTAAGTCTAGAATCAGGCAACTTCCTGTACACTCTAAGTGTTGGATTCCATAAAACCAAATCATTATCCTCAATGTCAAGACAAATCAATCCATTAACCGAACCCACAATGCAAACCCTTAGTTCCGGGTTTTTCAAGGGATAATTCAAGTCTAATGACTCAACCACAGAATCATTATGTAATGAGCTAACAGAACATTCCCTAAGAACGTGTTGTTTGATGTCCCTAGAAGTGAGCAAATCCCTATTCTCTGTCCATACAAGCCTGTGGTGTGTGTGATCTTTGTTTTTAGCAGCTACACTAAGATGGGTTTTGACAAATTCAGGGCTACGGATTAAAGTACACCATGATTTCGAAACACACCTGAACTTCAAAAGGGTCTTAACAGAAAATCTTGAGAGGATATCAACGATGAGGTCTGTTGGCAGGGTATACATTGTAAAAATTGAATCTTGATGAAAAATTTAGCAAAATAATTTGTGGGGTTTACTCTGTTTTGTGAGTTGAAGCTGAAGGGAGACAAAACTTTGAGAGTTTCACAAAAGAGAGGAGACTACTAATTTGTAAAAGCCACAAAGCTCGTCTCTACAAGAATCCTTCTACTCGAGTATTTCTTTTGGGCCAGGAGTTTAGTTAGTTTTTTTTACCCTTTGTTTGTCTGAGCTTTTGAATATTTGAAATTAAAGATATTTTGAATATATAAAAATAATCTTTAATTTTAAATGTAAAAAAAAATATATCAGGTAGAAAAATTGAATTGAAGAATAATATATTTTATAAATAGATTAGAAGGAAAGTGAGAAATTCTTTTGCTATGATCTATGGATTTTTTTTAGATAAAAATTTATCCATTCTTTTAAATAAATTAAAAATCACAACTACTAGAAACAGTTTTGCTGATTAACCAAAAAAAAAAGTTTCAATAGGATTCTTCAATACAAAATCAAAGAAAAAAAGATGAAATGGTTCTTCAAGACAAGTAAAAGATTTATAATAATGAAGAATCACAACATGTCCATAATCAACAAATTGGTTTAACTTACTGTGTTCCCATCTTAGCAATGCTGAAATAGAAATAACATTTGCACATCACAATAAACATTGAGAATAGGGAAACATCATACTTCATCATTTTGATCCATGCCATCAGTAGGGGTGAATTAGTTGTTCATAACATCAGCTTTCACCTCCTGAAAGGTCAATAATAGGTTACAATTAAGAAAACGCCACACTGATCGTAATGACAACCAATGACGGGACCAGGATTCAAATAGCAAAAAGTAAACATACAAAGAAGCCAAAGGATTTAAACATAGATGACAAGTAAAAGCAGTCGAGGTTCAGAAAACAGCGCAAGCAGATTATCCACACAAAAAACATAAATAAGGGGAATGCTATGCTTCATCATCAAGAATCAAGATGCATGCAGTAAGCAGTAGATCGACTAATTGTTCTTAATTATAGCTTTTACTTCCTGAAAGTTCAACTATAAAAATGAAAAAACCCTACTGATCTGTCGCAATACACGACTGTCTTCGAGCACAACCTTATACAAAGACCAATTAAAATGAGAGTTGCTTTTCCTTGTTATCGCAAAAGAACAACTTTCATTTCATGAAAATTTGCATTGAGCTCCTGTCGTCTAGTATGCCTATAACATGAACACAAATATGGTAGTTACATTATCTAAAAGATTAGACGACATGAGGCAGTAATTTCATGTTTCCTCTAGCTCCACCAACGCTAACAATTTTTTCACACAAAAGCTTTCATCCTTCCACTAATTACTCTAGCATTTATACTTTAGTTACATCGATATCCATCTTTACGAGTCCCTGTTCTCTGGTCTTGATAAGTCTCATGAAAGACATACGTAATATATTAATGCAAAGATAACAAACAGAACCATGGCATCAAGAGCATCCTAAGACCAAGATTTTATTTTTACAGGGATTAGCTATTATCTTCTTTAGTATTTTCTTCCGTTGCTTGATCTAGAATACATTTCCGATTGTCAAATAAACAGTTGTGTTAATGACCAAATAATTACTTGAGATGCATCAAAGTCACAGATTAGTTTCTCAACTTTGACAGACCATGAAATTTGAAAACTCAGAAAGTTAATATTTTGGTGCATACTTTATGAGACACAAGATTACAACGTCATCAGTTATGAGTGACGACTACAGCAATACTGTTAAAAAAGGTATAAACACTGTTTCCAGCTCTGTTTAGGATAAAATATAAAAGAAACTGGAAAGTCAAAATTATTCACGCAAACTCTGGGCATTGACATTGCATTATTTTCATGAAAATATGTAAAAAGGGAAAGAACAAATAAGATCTCCAAGCAGATGTGCTGAGAGGATGTCCCTAACATATGCAACGTCTTTCTCTATATTTGACAAAGAAACAGAAAGGTATAACATGGAACTCTTACAAGTCATTAGCTACAGTATAGTCATGCATCTGAGTTGTTGCAGCCTTCATTCTTGTTCTGTACTTTGTTCATTCAGTAAAAGGGGACAAACTAGGCTTTCAACATAGAGGTTCACCCCAACACAGTGACCACATGGGGTAACATTTGGATATTTGATAGGTTCATCTTCTGGATTGTGTGCCATTAAAGTCGATCCAGACACAAGCAACATTTCACCTTTGTTTGACATGCAAAGTTTTCGAGAAATAAAAGGAGCATACACATTATCAGGATACTTGACGGTATATGTTTTTGTCCAAGACTCTTTAACCCCATATTCTCTCATAACCCACACATCCGTCTGACTTCTCATATAGTAATAAGACATAGAAAGATCACTTCCCACCACTTGAAGCCACGCAAAAAAGTTTCCTCCTGTATAGAGGGGCTGCTCCAACGTTCCCCATTTCTCATCAGCCAAATCCATAGAAATGATGGTCCTCTCCTTATGATGAACACCACCATTAAACCCCCCAACCCAATGAAGCTTCCCGTCTAAAAACTCACATGGTTCCATCAATTCCACCCCATCTGGAACATCATCCTTATTTCTCCAAGAATCACTCTTTAGACTATATATTTTGACATCATTATGATGGAAATCGTATTTTTTTTCAACGCAAAGCACACCTACTACCTAATAATCATCACTAGACTTGTCATTTCCAAAACCATATATGACACCACAAGGGATACCATCATAACCCTCACTTACTTCAAGTTTAAGTCTAGAATCAGGCAAATTTTTGAACTTTCTTATCGATGGATTCCATATAAATAAGTCACCATCCCCAATAGCAACACAAATCAAACCATTAACCGAACCCACAATGGAAATACCTTGTTGCGGTTTCTTCATGGGAAAATCCAAGACAAATGGATCAATTACAGAATGATTACGTAAAGAGCTAAGAGAATAATAGCTATGAACGGGTCGGGATTCACCAGAAATGGACTCATTCCTGACTGTCAAAACAACCCTGTGGTGTGGGTAATCTTTGTTCTTAACAGATAAACTAAGATGGGTTTTGACAAATTTGGGGCTAGAGATTAAAGCAAGCCAAGATTTCGAAACACACCTGAACTGCAAGAGGAAATTGACAGGAACCCTTAACAGGATTTCAACTATAAGTTCTGATGGAAGGGTAGGCAGTGTAAAAATTGAATCTTTCATTGAATTTGATGAAAATTTAGCAATAAAAGTTTGTGAATTTTCTCAGTTTTGAGAGTTCATTGTTGCATGCCATAGAAGACTGCATACTGAGAAAGCCACAAAGATTGTCTCCCTTCTAGCTGGATGATGATTTGAAGATTCTCTTTTTGATTAGATACTCCATTCATTTAAAAAAATAATACACTAACTTATTTCCTTTTTAATGGTCAAAAAAATAATCTTTTTTTTAATAATATTTCGGAAAAGGGTCAAAATTGCCCTCGAACTATATGAAATAGACTATTTATACCCTTCGTTATATTTTGGGATCAAAAATGCCCCTGTTGTTATCCTAAGAGACCACAAATACCCTCAAGAGTTAACACTCCAAATTTTTGTTGACGTGGCAAGCCACGTGGGACTAATCCTTCCACCTAAGCGTTGTCAATTAGGATTCACTACAAAAGAACTAGACCTTTAGCGGCAACAACAGTCGCCACAAACGCCCAGAAAATCGTCACTAAAAGTTTTTTACATTAAATTCTAATTTTGTGTTTTTTTCTTCATTGTTTTTAAAAAACCAAATATGATATCGATTAAGTAGGAGTTTGAAGACACTATATGTTTTATTTTTATGTCATATGTAAATGTATAAAATGTACAATGATGCATTATATATATATAGTAGGAGATCTGAATTGAGAAGTAATTTTGATTATTTTTCGTAATAATATTGGATGTTTTTAATATGGATATTGCAAGTTATTTATTTTAGAAAATTAGATCGCAATCGAAAATTAATTATCATATTTTTTTGTTGAAAAAATAGGTTTTACTAGCGAATGGTTATTGGAGCCTTAGTCGCCACTAAAAATCACTCATAACCTTTAGTGGCAATATTTTCGGATTTTGTGGAAAGTCGCCACTAAAAGTCAAGTTCATTTGTAGTGAATCTTAGTTGGCAATGCTTAGGTGGAGGGATTAGTCCCATGTGGCTTGCCACGTCACAAAAAAATTGGGGTGTTAACTCTTGAGGGTATTTGTGGTCTACTGAGATAACTGCGGGGGTATTTTTGATCCCAAAATGTAATAGAGGGTATAAGTGGTCTATTTCGCATAGTTTAGGGGCAATTTTGACCCTTTTCCGATAATATTTTAATTTCAACTTTTTTATGTGACTTTTAAAAGCAATAATTTATTTTCCTTTTTAGTCTGTTTTTTCAAAAAAAATAAAAATAAATTTGATAATATTTTAATTTCAAATTTCCATGTGACATATATGTTTAAAGCCACAACATTAAAAATTACTATAACTTATTTTTCTTTTTAGTCTGTTTTTTAAAAAATAAATTATTTTTTTCTTTTTTGTAACATCTTAATTTCAACATTAAAAGACATTTTGGTACATTTAACATTTAATTTAGGGATACAAAATTGAAATTTTTTTCTTTATTTTTTTAAATTTTGTATCAAATCAAACTAAATCATTCTTTTTAAAATAGAGGAAGTGTATAAAAAACATTTAAATTACAATTTAAAAACATTGCAAGTTATTACAAATATCATACAAAAGGGAAGGTCATTGACAACTTGTCTTATCAAGTTATCATATCAATCGGCTAACATATTATTAGTAGTCTTTACAATATTCTTTTACTTGGCCAGCTGAATTAAAATACATCTTGATATGTCACATGATATAGCAACTACAGAATCACGCTTCATAAAAAGCTAAGAGAAGTATTGAAAACACCTTAAAATTAATGAAAATTTAAGAGTGTATTTCACTCATGTGGCAAGATTAGGAGTTTTTTTTAAAATTCAATTAATTAGAAAGTGATTTTAAAATTATTCATAGTTGGAGAACAAAACTAATAATTCACATCAAATTTATGAGTATTTTCATTACTTTTGTCATCGGTTGATTAGGGAAGGTTTCTTTCATCTTCAAGGCTCTTTTGAGGTGTGAAACAACACTCCCTCTCCCTCTCTCTCTCTCTCCATTTCAATAATAGATAAATCCAACATGAGGAGTCAAAACACAAAGCGCATCTGGTGTAGTGGTATCATAGTACCCTCCCACGGTACTGACCGGGGTTCGATTCCCCGGATGCGCATTTGTTTTTTTTTATTGGCATTTACTTGCACGTTTGCTTGTTCAGTATTCAAAAATAAATTGTTATTTTTATTTATCATCTTAACATATCAAGAAAATATAATTATTTTTTCATTCTCAATTATTTTACAATGATCTTAGATTATAAATAATCAATTAATATAAGTATTGTGATAAAATTAGCCTACCCCCTTCATTTAATTGCCCAAATCATGCAATACACATGTTGTAGTAACTTCAAGGAAGTTATCCCTTCATTTAATTACTCAAATCATGCAATAAATAAGTTGTAGTACCTTCTAGGAGGTTCTTGACATATATGGGGTAAATTGGCAAGCCACATCATCTTGTTACTTTTTGCTAAAAGTTCAATGAATCCACGTGACTTATGTATCTTTAGAGGCCCAAAATTGAATTACGTGGCTCCTAAAATATCCACCCCTTTTGTCTTCTCCCTTTCTTAGCACACTATAAATGCCCACCAACTTTAAGCAGTATGGTTATATCAAAGTGAATTAATAAGTTTGTTCACTAAATAACACTAGTACTTCTACACCTTTTTTCAACTCTTGAAAAGTAAAGCATTTTCTCTTAGGTAAAAAAAAAATATGACAACTTCATTTGCCATGCAATCCATAATATTGGGAAGTCCAGTTAAGTTGTCACAAAGTAGAAATGGCTTGAATCAGTTTGTTCCTAGCTGTTACTTGCCACGCCTTCACAGGAGTTCGCATCTTCGTGTTAAGTGTATGGCTGAGGTCCGCGCATAAATCTTAAACTCTTTTTTTTCATATTTAAAAAATAAAAAAAAGTTTTTTCAGTTTATGTGATATTTTTTTATTTTTCGAGATTCAAATTATGTTAATTCGAAAAATTGCAGGAGGGTGAGAAGTTAGACAAATCTTCAACCCCTTTGACTGATTCTGCTGCTACAGTTCCCAAGCCAACACCTGCTCCTTTTGCTAAGGTTGGTAGTACTATCTTTTTCTTGAAAAGTTCACTTAGCTTTACTTCAAGCATATTTTTTAGGTTGATTTAAGATTTCCAATTTTTCTTGAAAAGTCTAGAAGAGCATTTTTCGACCATAACATTGATGGCAAGTTTTTTTTTTTAAAAAAAAATAAACTAATAACTTGAGACATTTTTTAATTCTTTTTACTCGTGTTTTTTTATGTAACAGGCAAAACCAAGCACCAATTTCTCCGATATATTCTCATTCAGTGGCCCGGCACCTGAGAGGATCAATGGTAGGCTAGCCATGATTGGATTTGTAGCAGCCATTGGTGTGGAGCTAGCCAACGGTGCAGATTTATCTGCACAGTTATCAAACGGTGGATTATTATGGTTCTTGGGGTCAAGTGCATTGCTAACTTTGGCTTCACTAATCCCATTGTTCCAAGGAGTTACTGTCGAGTCTAAATCTGATGGGATTATGAGTGCTGATGCTGAGATTTGGAATGGGAGATTTGCTATGTTGGGATTAGTTGCTTTAGCTTTTACTGAATATGTTAAAGGAGCTGGCCTTTTCCAAGTCTAAGTATATAAAATGAATAATAATAATAATATAAAGTTTATATTATTACTTTTAAATACTTATTTGTTGGTCTCTTATTTGTGTTCAGGAGTGTTACCTAATTCACATGAATACATACATACACTGATCACTAACAAAGTATCAATGACAATTTCAAATGCTAAACCAAGTGATGGAATGATCGTAGTACCATCGTGTATCATATCATCCAAAATGTTCGACAAATGCAAAAGGGTAAAAATATACCGGCAACAGTGTACTATTGACAACCACAAACTTGTATAGTATCACTTCATGTTGAACACTTACCCAAAAGGGTAAGCAGATTAGCATAATTGCTTCTTCAAAATTGATATAATGGGAGTTATTTTACCTAGTAGAACTATATTAAAAGCCTAAACTTGACCAATACCTTTATTTATTATACTGGTGATATTTCAATTCACTCAGCTGTAAGTAAAAATCCTCTACTCTTAAGTTATGAACAGAAAAGAATGACAAGAATACATATCTATAGATACATGTATGTATATACACAGCGTAGTCTTCTAGGATGATAATCCGTCAAACTGGCACCTCTATCTTTAGCTCATTTCCTTTCATGTCACCTTTCTGAGGCTTTTCAGCCTCCTCGCCAATATTATCCTGTTTCAGACAGGAACGTTTCAGTGAATGATTACTCAAAAACCATGATAATCAGAAAACTACTTACCAGTAAAAGCATTAAAAACACTTCAACCCTTCTAAAACACACACATCATGCTCGACATTAATGTCAAGTAAATTTAAGTTGAAACTGAAGAGAGACCAAACAAATTGTTTTGAAATGCAATGCCGAACAAACTCCCAAGATGACATAGGAGGATCCTGAAGAAACATAAAATTTTAATCTTTTTTTTTATGAAGTAAATGGACGTAGAATTTTAATTTTACGGGGGATCATATATGTGATATTCCACAAAGACAAGCTTGTGTCATCTTTTGTGGACATAATATTAACCATGCTCGCTGACATTTTTTAAGAGCAGGAAAGCATATAAAAGATGGCTTTGGACATGTAAATAACAACCACAAACAGAGAGAGCGAGAGAGAGAGAGCGACGCACTTGTAAATACAAAAGAGAAGGCAATAAACAGAGAAAACCAGTGTACATAAATCCAGGCTCAACAAACCACATTAATTCAGTCAACAACAAACCACCGTACTATGGAAAACCTTCTAACATGGTCAAGAAAATATCCTGACATCCATCTAAATCCCCCAGCCCAACCATAGACCATACATAAGATGGGTTGAATCAAGTACAGTAAGCAGGCATACTTACTTGGAGAGGAAGGTCAGCCGGGAAAAGATGTATGCTGCCAGGAGAAAAGTTGAGACCACTGCAGAAAATAAAGAAAACAAATGAATTACAAATTGGGAAAATCTACATCACAACCACAAATGAAATAGGTATAAGAGGATAAATCCACTTGTGCTGTATATGATTCAATCAATAAATGGTAGATTACATGTTTCAAAACAAAACATTGAGAAAGACAAAGATATAAACTTGGAAAAGCACATGGAATTAAAGGATACTCTAACAAAGAGCATGTGTTTTACGATAAAAACCACCAACCTCCGAGACAACACCAGCTGCCACACATATGGAATGAAGAACTCCTCAGGATGACTCTCTTGTTCATATGTGAAACGCAATTGGGTAAACATCTGTTGTCAACAAATATGATAATCAGATACAATGAAGTCATCATAAGTTGGCATAACTATTAAATGAATTAGCATTCTACCTTTAGTCCGTCAACCCTCCAAGATCGGCAATTAACAATAATCACTTGCAGTACTTTCTCTACAGACCATTCCCCATCCATCTTCTGGGCATCCATGCGACTGTTGAAGAAGTCCAAAACCTTGAAATAACATCACAAAATCATAATGCCTTCCAGACTACACTACTGAACTGTTTTCAGTTAGTAGAAAGTAAGTCCTACTTTCAAGGAACCCCTTTTCAAAAACATAGGAACTGCAAACACACAAAAGAATAAGCATACCATAAATATGTTGTCAAGCAGTTCATTGAATCGTGGATGACTTTTGAATGGCTGAAAAACTTCCTGCCTGTGCATAATTGCATAAACAACCTGCCAGTTTTGGAATGCAATTAATAAAAGCTGCAACAAGCAACTTATCCTCATGAACAAACAACTATAGATGATCGAAATTGCTGATACCTCAGGATTCCGCGGCAAGGAATAGGTCAGAATAGCATTTAATATCTCAAGAACAATTCTTAAGAAGTCGGTATAAATATGCAGCTCAGCTGCCTGCAAAAATATTTGAAGAACTTTAATGCTATCACGTACCAATTATGCTAGATGAGAGCAATTAATAAAGAAAGTGGAAATGATGCTAAAGGCCAAGTGTGAAGTACCATGTCTTCTTGGAGACTATTTTCTTCCTTTGATTCACCATTGGGCACATGCATCTTATCATTTTTCATCTCTGCCAATTTGTTGTACCTACATTATAGAACAAGATCAAAATAACAATCAATCAACCAAATTTTTTTTATAACTCACTGGTAAACACAAGGAACAAGAAACTTACTTGCGTGCAAGCATGTCAAATAGGCTCACTAAACGTTGTGATGCATAACCACTTAGGCGATGTACATGAGGTGCCATATTAGCTAAAGTTGCAAGGCAATTTGTATGAAGGTAAACATCCTGTTAAATGCATCAGAAAACACATGCTTGAAGTCGGCTTTCATGGTTTGATCAACTTCATCATGAAACACACCAACAAATTACCAATAAAAGAGAAACTTTATTGGTAAAGAGGACGAACTTTAATTATGCACCCCATGCTCAAACAGAAGTCAAGGATCCATTTCATGAAGTTGTATTGCTCTACCCAAATTGCTCATTACAGCAATTCAAGTAGATGTATCAGTAGATCACTAAAAATACTGCCTCATGACAGTATATTCTGATGAGGATATATGTAACAGTTAAGAGTGTAAAATATATGTATGGTGGAACTGCCAGAAATATCAAGAAGCAATTTACCTTCCCACCCAAGAAGAGATAAAAGAGATAAGGAATAGTAGAGAGATAGAACATGAAATAAAGAAAGTACAATAATAAACCAACAGACATTTCATATCATACCCGCAACTTAGAGAGGTTGTATTTCACCGTCCTCGTCAAAATTATGACCATAAGAGAACCAAGAGAGGTCTGATGAAGAACGCGTTCTTGGTACCATGGAACACTGGGCAACACCTGCAGAAAGATGTAGAATTTAGATAGTCCAGGCTTACATGTAAAAAAGGCGGAGAGATCTTTATTTACCAGTTTATGAATGCTGGCGTTGAATGAGGAATCTTGGCTAAGTATAAGAAGGATAATCAGCACCATATATATCTGATTGGATGTCCTCCTAGGTGCATTATACAGTGTTTCGAGCAAAGGCATCAACTGTTGATTTATTCAAACAGACAGTAAGATTCTAAATTCTAACTGAAGGGGCAAAAAATTATATTCAACAACGCAAGAACAGTTGGAAAGTGAGATTCTAAAAAAGGAAGTAGGAAACTGGATAAGAAAAACGTGGAAAAAATTCAGTATCTGCTAATGGATAACCAAGTATCTGCTCTTCATCAAAACAAAAAAACAACCATCTGTTAATAGATAACCAAGGATCATAGTCCACATTATTATCAAGACCTCAATTCCATAAATACATCAACTTGCTGCGCAAGCAGTTGCAAGAGATCAAACTACGCCTAGCTACACTTTTATTGCTTGATACTCTCCTTATCCATCATGTACACTCTAGAATCTTGATTTCCTTACACAGTGATTGGTGGGAGTGATATCCACAAGCAACTGTCATTATTCAGTCAGAAATAAAAATATAACATAAGCCATCATATTTTACCAGTGTATCCAGATCAGTCCGCACCAACACATACTCAAGAAAATCTGAATTCCCATGAACGAGTGAATAAAGCAGAAGTGCAGAAGTCTCATCAGCCAAGCACCTGAAAACATAGTTGCAAGCCCACTCACTCATTACCAGAGCCAAATGATGTATGTGAACAATTGTATCATCAAATATACAAATATACAAATAAACATATTTTATGCCATCAGATCATTACATAGAAGTAGGCAATGCATGTTTAACACACACAAATTTGCAACGAAGAGGACTGATCATTTTAGTAGAACCTACCTTCTGTGAAGAGGATCCAGAAGACAGAAATCTTCTTTTTGCATTGCAAGATTACTGCACAGCTTTAGGACATAGTTTTTGACATTTTGGGTTTAAAGAAGGCCACACCAAGAGCCATATTGGAGCTTCTACAAGGCTGGCAAAGAAGAGTCTGAAGGGTATACATTCAAGAGTTTGGAATGAAATACCAGTAAAAATTTGGTGGATCATATGAAAAGAGAGCAACTCACGAATTTTTTAAGACAGAGGACAATCTAGTCTTATGTTCAATTGTATTTCTTAACTTTAGCTTTTGGACCAGCATGGCAGATTTATATGATTGTCACAATGTAGAGTCATGATCAACTTATTAGTTCTCTACATAATCTGTGAGAACTATTTCTATGCTACTCAATTGTTCATACCAGCATACCATTTATGCTGAGAAGTTTATAAAATTTCACCTTACTTATCAGGAAAAAAGAAGATCATAATATGGAAGTAGTATTAAGGGTATTTCACTATGAACAGACCAAACGGATTGACTAAAAGCCAAATAAAATATCTTCTCTGCCACGGGGATGTAGAAGGTCACAAATAAACTCCTTGTGCATAGCCAATTTTCATATTAAAATAGGAGCTACTATCGTACAGTGTAAGCAACTTTTAGTTGTCACCTTGGATCAACAAGTGAGATAGATTAACACTTACATGCCAAGGGTATCAAAAAGAGAAGCAAAGGGTAATCTCACAACCGGACCACCAGGTGCATTTCCCTCAACATCAACACGATCAACTGCTTGAGAGAACACAAAGAAGCTTAGAATCATGAACAAAATTCATGAAGTAGCCAAAGGGATACCAGAACGGAAAAAGAATCGTTCTAACATTCAATATCCCGAGCATTCTCAAGGGCCTTGCAGTAAGGATTCTCAAAGAATGATTCTTCCTTTGGTAGTGAATCTGGACTGCTGTAGTCAATTTTATCTTTGAAATGGTCCATGCCAAGACTCTTGCGGTAATGAACAAGGATGAGTAAAATATTAAGACTGTTGTCTGCCAATGGGCTTCTGGAAGCTTCATTGCTTGAACTTGCAAAGAAATTCAATGGCAGCAGCACGAGATTTGCTGCAAGTCAATGGAAAAGGCAGAAGCTTCAATGAGAATGATAGGACAGCATAGTGACTAAACAAAAGGCCTAATAACTGAATCAATTGGGGATGGAAGGATTCAACAATGACTACATAATGCTGCATACATGAACAAAAGAACAAGAATAATTTTATACAATGGATATTTTGGGGATGTGGCTATAAATAGCCAAATAGGAACCAAACTTGTGCTAAGCAAATAAATATAAAGATCATACAAAATGCAGATAGGAATGGATGTGGGTAAAAGGGAGGAAGGAGATGAGCTACACACTAGAGAAAGGGGGGTTAATAAATCACTTCATCCTACCCGCAACAGAGCCAACTCTCTGTAAAACTCCAGGACGATATCCTTCAGAAAATATATAATACGATGAAGCCTTCAGAGGGAAACGCGGCCGCGTGATGTAGTTAACAAGGAGCTTACGTATAGCCAGATTGACCAAAGAAGTTGGCTGAAGAAAAAAATTATATTCAGAAGTGGCTCATGACTTGCCAAGGAATTTGCAGCAAATACTAAAGCAAATAGATAAGATTTCAATATTTTTTAGAGATATCTACTGAGAGAAACTAATGATGACCTGAGACATTGCTGCATCAAAGAAAGGATGAATATCATCAGCTCCAAGTGATGGCCCAGAAAGAAGCTGAGTTGATAACGCAACAAGCATGAAATTAAGCAACTCATAGTGTAGAAGATATGTATCAGAGCTGTCACAAAAACCACACAGTATTAGGAAAACAACTGGCAAGCTATCAGAGAAGATATTTGTTGCACAAAGCTCAACATACCTTACATCTACCCTGCCAAGAAAATTAAGCACACTATTCACAACAAGATGCTCAATACTCTGTTCTGTAAAAGAAAATGAAAGAGGAATGGTGGTAAGAGTAAGGAAGTAAAGGACTTAAATTCCCGGACAGATCTGAACATAAAGATTAAAAAAAAAAAGTGATTCCCAAATGTAGGAGACTCAACCAGATCAAAATCAGCAAAGAACAGTTTATGAAAGCTACCCCCACTGAAATAAGCTCTATAAGAGACACAAGTTAGAATCTGGAAGAAATTGTTGGTCACTACTAAGGTATGGCTCAACTTCAACTACCGAAATCAGCGCTACAAGAGATATGAGTTAGAACCTTAAAGAATCATTGGTCATCACAAAGGTATTGCTCAATTTCATCCATAAAAAAGTAACAGAAAATTTCTTAATTTACCCTAATGTAAGTCCAAAAAAAAAATTGCAGTACAATTGGAGACAACCATTCGAGTTTTTCATAAATTAGACTACACAGTACACACTGTTTTGAACAGTGAATATGATGCTTAGAAGCAAAGACACTATTATATCTACCTTATAAAATAGAAAAGGAATCCACGATTAGATCTTAGAACAATCAGCATACACATTCACTTTGTTTAAGTCATAGTGGTTGAAATACTGTAGTGATCACTTAAGTTGCTACATACTCCAATTGCCCTCCCACGCACAAAAGAAAAAGAAGATATATTCCGAAGAGAGAACAAAATTGTAAAATGAAAGAGGAATATAGATAAGAAAATCAGAGAAGTCTCACTAACCAAAAATGAATGAACCATGTTGTGAATGCATTACCTTTAGGGACATTACTTGGAATTTCCTCACTTTCATTCAGGGACATGTATAGATCTTCAAAGTTGTCAGTTTTAGCATTCTCAATGAGGTGCTTCAGAAAAACAGATGAGACGTAGACTGCATTGAGAGCTTTCACATAAGCTGATGAAGAAGCATCGGATGTAGAAACACACTCTTGCAAGCACCAGGACAGGTGAATTAAAATTTTGGCAAGATGCCTTGTGTAGCAGTTGTTCTGAGCTGCAAGAAACAGCAGATGGTATTAGATGATCATACCAGTGAGCTCATCATCCCACATCCACCCCCACAACAAAAGAAAAAAAGAGATGGAATAAACGTCGAAATAAATTATTCCCACTCATGAGCAAGAATTGGTTCTAGAAAAATTAAACAGGGAAGTTATAGAAAGAAAAGACACAATAAGAGGGTCAGATAAAGAATTCATATGGTTAGTGCCAATAGCCTGCTGATAAGTCATAAAAGATGAAAGAGCGACATCTTACAACTAATAACTATATATCAGCAAGAAAATACTTACAACCCAATATGCATAGCATGAGGCGTAAAACATGAAAAGTAGAACGAGTACCATGTTTCACACTCTGCTTTACCTAATTCTTTCATGCTTACATCATTTTATCAAAAATAAATAAAAATCTAAGCTTTAAATAATGTAATATGGAAATTAATACCAACTACTAAGTTCATTATTCTTGAAAGCAGTCGTCCGCATGATAAGGAAGCACAAGAATGCAGAAAAGAGAGTACAATTTTTACTTGCACAACATTGGAAGGAAGTTAGCACTCTCCATAACTTGAGGCCTAAGTAGAATTACCTAATTTTTGCACTAGTCTTCAATAAGAAAAAGATTTATCAACTTAAATAATTAAGCAATTTGCATGAATCTGTTCAAAGTTTCCGGAGTAGAAGTTCTTCTTGTTTCAATAAATAACTCCAGGGAAAAAATTTATGTGCTCCAGAGTAACTTCACCAGGGTAACTGATCTTCAATTTTGTTTCTACTCTCTATGGGAGAACTTCTCCTACTTTGTACTCCTATCCAATGACAATTCTCATTTTTTTACCTCCCTTGTTCTATAGATTACTACGCAAGAATTCCAGATATACTTTTTCAAACAGAGAATTCCAGATATACTATCACTTTCAATGTAACAGAAATCAAATGCATTTCTAGGTAGTCCGTGCTCTAGCTACATCTGAGGCACCGCACAAGCTTGACGCAAGACCTTTTTTTGCGTTATTTTCCTAATAAAGGTGAAATTTTATTAAAAAGATGCGTTATCTAAAACATATAATTAAAAAACAGGGGAAACTCCACAACAAGATGCAGACTAAATAGAGAACCTTTCAAAAAGGTATGGTTCTCTACAAAAAGCACCCAACCTAGGGATGCTACTTCCCAAATCTCCTCCTATTTATCTTTTGTATTTACCCCGTAGCGTCAGGTCTTTCACTCCGTGCTAGAAGTCATTGTATTCCAAACAGATCCATAACGCACACTAAAGTTTGTCTGACACCAGAGAGTAAACACTTTCTTCGGTCATCTTTGTTACTTTGAAAATAGATCAGAGTAAACATCAAAAGAACGTCTGGTTCATCCAATAAAATATTTGTCCCCTTCCAAATTTTGTGTTGATCTACTAGTAGCTTATGGAAAACCTTTATCGTTTCAAGACTTATCAGTATATGTAGATGGATATGTAAGAAGCCATATTATACTCAACATTCAAATTAAACTGCACAGTGTTCCTCCAAACTCCTCCAAACTCAAACAATAATTAACCAAACTTAAAATTATTCTCTCTCCAAAACTTTCAGTTCGTTTAAATTTTACAAAGGTCGATTGGAAGATTTTGCTCTTTAATTGGAGATAATGATCCCCTTTTTGAAGGAAATTTAGACATGGAAATTACATTGCAATTTCTTCCATTTCAAACCGATACCATAATCCATTTAAAAATCTTCATCAGAGTTTTCTTTCTCCGGCTCTTGGGAAGTGCAAATGCACCAAAATTTCAGAATCGAAAGACCATTGCATTTAAAAAGTTCTAAAACATCATCTGAGGAGATCAATGGTACAGAGCATTTTTCTGTTGACATCTGACGTTGTGACCACTTCTAGTTTTAGGATTGGGAGACAACTAGGCTACTTTCCACATTAAATAGAGTATGCAGGAGCACAAGAATACTTTGAGTAGAGCTCCACAAGTGGCAAATTTGATGGCTGGCTTCAGACCTAACTGCCTAAACAACTAGTATAGACACTAAGCATTTGCCAAATCCTCAAAAAGAGTCAACTATAGATTTCGGCGAATTTAAAAAACAGTGGTGAGAATCACATGCACGTTATGATTTTTTTTTTCCTTTTCCATTTCTATTGGTGTAGGCACTTCCAACCTATGTTGGTCGGACTCTCCAAAAATGTTGCCTCACCCACGTCGGATTCTCTAACAATGCACTATTTTTGCAGGATCCAACACCTGATAAATTACCTCAACAACAGTGACGGAAATTCACTCACTCAATTTCACCAATTTACATACAATGCGTATTATTTAACTATCAGACTACCACGGAAAGCTGCACAGTAACTAAACCTAACATATGAATGTTCTAGCAACTTCCATTCATCAATAGAAGTTTCTACACGACATTACAGATACTCGTTGCCGCCAACTAACAGAACCTAATATATGCGAGCTAACTTCACAATTAAACTACATCACTTTTCCTTTTCTATTCACCAACAAATCTTACTAATAAATAATCAAGGAAATAAACAACTTTAAAAAATAACAGATAGTTAGGTACCAAAGTGTAGGCAAGCTTGCTGAACACGATCCGAAGACCAATGAAGATTAAGAGGAAGCTCTAGAAGCTTCTGCCAGTAATCAGAAGCAAGAGGAAACGATTTCTCGCCAATAAATGCTCCAATTAGGTACTCCTCTGTTTCATGAGGCCTCGAACCACCGCTAAACCTCGGCGTTGACGGTACTCCCCCCATTCACACTACTCCGTCCGTCCGGCCGACACAGAAAACTAAACGGTGCAAATATATCTACACCGACTTTTCTGGAATGTTGTAGTACCTTCAGAAGTGCGAATTCACGAGATCGTAGAGAGGTTTCACTGGCATTTTGCGATGAAAAAATTGTTGGAGCTGTGGATCTGAGAGAAAGGACAGTAGCTTATGAACGAAGAGAGAGAGAGAAACAGAGGACTTTTCATAGCAATCTCTTTTCGTTTGGGAATGGTAAATGAGATAAAGAAAAAACTTGAAATTTTAAGTGATTTACAAAATTGCCCCTTGGAGTTTATTTAATTTGGATAATCTTTCATTCAATGAATTGGAAATATTTTTTGTCTATATTAATTGAAACTAGTTAAATGATAAAATGATTCATGTGAAAAGTCTATAAATCTTTATTCCACGAATTTAAATTATTTTCTTGATGGATTAAAAATAAGTTGTAAAATTTATAATTTTAATATTTAATTGTAATTCATTCGTCAATCTGAGTTAAGATATATTTTCAAAATTAATATGAAATATAGTGATTTTTATACTAAATTCTAAGGTAAAAAAACGCTGACTGACATTAAATATCTGATTGCAAATACTTGCAATAAGTCATTTAGCATGAGATTTTAAGTTTTAATTTTGATATAAATAAAAGTTAATCATGTCGACTACACAAGTTCCTATCTAGGTTTTAAGCCAAGATATGTTCCTCCTATAATTACAATAATCAGTATCTTCTCATTCTCACCCTTGTCATGACCCGTCATGTTATCACGTTATTTAGTTGCCACGAAACATAAAATTATTTATGTGAAGCCTTACATTAGAAGAAGAATAGTCCTTAGTAAAATATTCTCGAGATATATAAAGAATTCTGTTAAAGACCTTAGAATTTCATGAATTTACATGCAAAACTCTTAAATCATTTTAGCTGTGTAGAATATTTTAGAATATCAGTTTATTTGTAAATATATGTAGAGACTTGCATAACAATTATTATTTACATATTAGTGCCTAAGTTAGTAGAATGAATAAAGGACATTCATTTATAAAAATCATCAAACAAAAAAATCAATCAAAATTTCCTACAATACAATTTTTTCTAGCAATCCTCATGTGTCTAACGAGTTGTCAAATGTCGCACTTGTATTTAGTGAAGGACTAAGAACGTGACACTTTGGCCCATTTGCAATTCAAATGATTTTTATTGTTCAACAATTAATCTAAACTAAATTGAACCCATCAAAACAAAAACATTATATGTTCTTCTTAGTTTAAAAGCATGCATGCTTTTAGAATGTTATAATGAAAATAAAGACTTTTCTTTTTTCACTTGAACATAGTTATTTACTTATAATTTAAAAACTGGCATCTATCATTTCTAATGAGTTATTCTTTTCAAACATTCTAATTCAAGATAAATTTTTTAATCTATTTTTATTCATCATCTAATCAATTTTATATTTTTCTTATTTTATTAAAGTAATTAATATTTATTTCTTAAATCGATAGTAAACACGCTTTTATATCATTTTCTTTTTAAATAAAATATGCTAAGTAATTTAATACTTAATAAACTTGACGAATGACTTTCATATCAAGACTTATCTTCAACTTTAAAGTCAATAGATGAAAGTACATTTCCCTAACCTAATAATGTTATTTCAATTTTAGCACTAGATCAAAATTAGTAGTACTATAATATAATTCATAATTTTCTTTGCTTATATATGGTTCTATAAAAATGAGATTGATTTTGATGATTTTTGGCAATTTAATTAAGGGTTTTTATATAAGAAAAAAGAGAGGAGGATAGATTGGTCAATACACATAAATTGGTGGAGTTTCACTATGAGTTCTTATTTGTATTGATTTGTAGCTGGTTTTGAATTTCGTCGGCAAATGAGTCCACGTGGCAATATGTGTGCTGATTCATCATGTTCATACAAAGACATTTGATGAGATCAATGGCTGATTATAAAATTAATAAAATATTTTAAAAATATTTTAGAAATTTATTGACCTAATGGCTGATTATAAAATTAATAAAATATTTTAAAAATATTTTAGAAATTTATTGACCTTGAAACGATGACTGATTATAAAATTAATAAAATATTTTAAAAATATTTTAGAAAGTTATTGACCTTTGAAACGTGGTAAGTCCACTTTACCATTTACATTAAGATTTTCAACATTCTCATATGAAGTAAAATAGAAGTGCAGTGTTGACTTTGCCATAATTCAGCTAAAATTTTGTCTATATTTCGATATTAATCATACATATCAATTAATTATGATTAAATATTTTTTTAAAAAAATATATAGAATACACATATCATGTTTATTAATTAAGGTACACTTCGAATAATTTTTTATTTTTGCTAATAAGAATCTAAACGTCAAATCAATTAAATTTATATTTTAGATTATTTTTTAGTAATTTGTACTTATTCTTTCAAAATTATAGACACATCTCTATCTCGACCTGTCACCTCCAAGCCCTACTTCTCACCTTCATAATATTTTGCTAAATGACATATAAATATTTTGTTTATTTACCAAATAAAAGTAATTTAAGAACTCATTTATTTTATCGGAAAAAAAAAACATTTTTACTCGTGCCAAACACACCCTTAAATGATACTCAACCTTTATCGTTTCAACAATCGGTCAAATTGAATTTGTTTCTATGAATTTCTAAACCAGCAGAAAAGGATAAAACTTTTTATTTTTAAAGTTGATTTCATTTCTATTTTTTTACATTAATATAGTAGATCAATAAGGCACAAGAATAGCTGACTTGGGGTAAAAATTTGACCTTCATCACCTTTTTGCTTTCTTGATAATTCAAAATCATAATTTTAAGGTTGAAAGTGCGGGATTTAAAAGGATATCAAAATGACTGAGGTCTCCTCTGATCAAACTTGTCACACTCTACTTATCTATTATAATTTACATCTCTTATATGGTTCACAAACTATTGTACAAAAATAGATTACCTAATGTGCATCCGAAGAATAACAATTGCAGATAGTCCTAAAATATAATAAAAAAGTACTAGTTCGATATATTAATATTCATTTTCATGCCAAATTTCAAAATATTAATCATTCATATAACTTATAAGATACTTTATTTTTCCACAAAAATTAGCTTGTCATCCTAATTAAGTTTTCCGCAAGCTAACATTATAAAAACAAATATTGACGCATCTAATTAATCGTAGTGCACTTGGTCTTTGCTACCAATAAAGTTAATTATTTTATATCAAATTAACACAAGTGAAAAATGACATTTTTTGAAATTTTGAAACCATCTATTAAACAAGTCTCCATCTGAATGGACCATCATGTAATTTAAAAATCCTTATGGAAGGGAAAAGAAAATGAAATTGTTTCATATAATATTGTTAAGTTAATAATTAAAAAAGAGTTAATTATATTAAAATACAACTAATGTAATTATTAGTCAATTTAAATGGGACTAGTCTAGTGAAGTGAATAATTTTTCTTATTATTCCTTAGCATCCAATTGAAAAAGAGAGCGTTGTCGGTGAGAAAACGATACCCAAACTCCAAAGGCAAATTACTAGTAGTTATCCATTTATATGATATTTTTAGTTCCTCCGTCTAATATTAATTGATCATCTTACTAAAAATAGTTATTTCGATATTAATGGTTCATCTTGCTGAATTAAAAAAAAATATTAATTAAATTTTTCTATATTATCTTTGTAATTAATTCTTTTTGAAAGTATTCACATTTGTTCGTATAATCTCAAAAAAAAAATTAAGGAGTGAATTAGTAAAATTGTCTCTTAATTTGTGTAAAAAAGAAAATGATAAAATAAAAATTTTCTAGTTAAAATACGAAAAATACTTTAGAAAATCTTTTTTTTTTAGTTTGAGCATTATCAATTTGAACTCTATGACTAGTTGGTGGTGTTTGAACTTTATGAATATTTAGTGTTTGAAACTTTGACAAGTTTTTTTAAAAAAATTGTGAAAAAATTAAATTTCATGGATCATTTTTGGAGTTTGCATTAATAGAGATTTAAAGTTTACGAATTGATCAAGAAATTTTGCTCATCAATCTTCAAATTTCAACATCATCTGCTGGAATTATTCCATGTTTTAAGTAGAAATAGCTTGTACAAATTTAATTTTCTCATTAAATATTGGGTAATAGCTACTTTTAATTTTTACTCCCTCCATTCATGTTTAATTGTCATTGTTTGACTTGGCATCCCATTAAAAACAATTATTGATATTTGTATTTTATCACACTATCTCTATATTAATTAGTAATGTTTAGTATTGAGTTTTGAAAATTGATATGGAGAATAATATTTAATGTTAGGGGTAAGACATGGAAAAAATAATTATTTTGTTTTGATATGACAAAAGTGACAAGAAAAATGAAAATTTATTTTAGAAATAAGTGACAAGTAAAAGTGAACGAAATATTTTAAATGGCTAAACTTTGACCGTTAGCTCAAAACTAACTATCCAACCTAATTCTTAAGGAAATTGGAAAAGTATTGGTCCATTAATTATTGACGTGGACATGGGTTGTTTGCACCTACACCCATATTTTGCAAAATGGAATTTAACTTGTGAAGTCTTCATGGTCTAAGACTCTGCATTTTGGTGGTTCATGGCTTAAATAATGAAAAATTTACTTATTTATACAAATAATGATACGGTTTTCATATTAATATAACTTGTATTGATACATATTGATATAGCATGTATTGATGTATATAGACAACCTTCATATGTATTGATACAACCTATATTGATACATTTGAAATGCGATCTCCATAGTGATACGTATTGATACAACTTGTATTCGTCGAGTATAACTTGTTTCTAGTATCTCTCTTCTCTCTATCCAAAACCACACTAACATTTTTCCTCTTTCTCCTAATCTTGTTCACCTTTGTCCTCTCCATTATAGTCTTTTTGTATAGAATGCAACATATGTATCAAATTGTATTCGTTGATACAAGTTGTATCCGTCAAATACAATTATGTATTAATTAGCATTCCTCCTCTCCCCTCTCTCCAAACTCTCGCTCGCTTCTCTCCGCTCTCAAATTGTTATGATGAATTATAATTAGATAAACTATAGCTACTAATGATCATTATGATCCAAACTGTATAACATATTTATGAAAGTTTCTCTTAAATAATCAGCTACTCCTTTTCTATGCTGATAAATAAGTAAAGCAAATTGCCATATTCATCCGGAAAGAACCGTTTAAAGTTGTAATAGCGATAGTATATGTAAAAATATTGTTATATAATGCTATCAAATGCGAAATGTTAGAATTGGATCGAATATACACTATTTTCATGGAAATGCATCTATCGATCTAATTAATGAAAGCCCATAAGCCTCATTTGTCATGAGTTATAAAATAGCAAAGTGAATCAGTGTGGAGAAACTACTTCCAAAGGAAGAAAGGTAATCGAAAAACAATACTACATTCGTCCACTTTTAATTGTCATGGTTTCTTTTTTTTTAGAATCAAACTATAAGAACTTTGACTAACTTGTTACAATATTTTTTTTTCATCATATTGATTGATATGAGAAAAATTGCAATTTATAGTACTTTTTCGTATAATTTTTGTATATCTAATTTTTTTGTTTAAAATATCAAATTAATGTAATTTAATTTAATTTTGAAAATTAATTAAATTGATTTTCGAAAAACCGCAACATACAAATAAAAGTGGAGGAAAGAAGTATGTATTATGTAATCTTGACAGCTCACTACTTAAAAACTAGGGATGGCAATGGGGCGGGGCGGGTTGAGCTTCAACCCGCACCGCATAGTTAAAAAATTTGATTTCAATCCGCCCCGCATAAACCCGCCCATGTAGAAAATATTATTTTTCAGCATAATTTTATTCATTTTAATTAGTATATGATTTACTAATTATCGGCTATTACAAAATTAAAATGTGATTAAACAAAAATTTAATACCTCAAAAGTTGTAAAGTTTTTAACAACATTTCAAACATATCAGAAAGAAACTAACATTATTATATTATTAAAGTTAGGATGAAATCATACATTGATATTCTACAAAGACTAAAACTTAATTATAATAAACTTGACTAATAAATCTCTAAATCCACACCATTTATTATTTAGTTAAGTCACACCAAATTGTGAATTAAAAAAACTTCTATTTTTATGCATTATTTTGAGCCATCTCTAATTTTGCTTTGTTAATTAATTTATAATTAATATTTTCATAAGAATACAATTTTAGCTCTGATAATCATTGGTCATTTTGAAACAGAAACTTTCAGATTTTAAATTTGAGATAGTCAATTGTAATTTTCTTATTTAATCTAAAAAAATGGAATAGAAATTTTAAGGGGAGATCTTATTTTTTTGGTATAAAAAAGAAAGTTTTGCTTAATATGTTTAATATTCTTATAATTTGCATGCTAAATGTGTAAAGTTTAGCCTTCAATTGTAGGCTAATAATATAGTGCGAAAATGAAATTATTGTACCCGCCCGCACCCGCAAAAAAATTAAGTATTTTGATATAGACCCACCCCGCCCTGCATCTGTTCAAACCCGCCCTACCCCACATCCGCCCCATTTCATTGTCATCCCTACTTAAAAACGCTAAAAATCGACTGCAAAAATTGAGGAACTAAATTGATGGATAAAATTGAGGGATTTCGTCAGCTTGTAAATATTTTTTCTCAAAATATTTTTTCGTATGTCACCTATTATTCGCATAAAATACATTGAAACTATAAATAATAGGAGTAATTATTTTTTTGAAAAAGAAAATCGATCAATATCTATCAGTTAATTTAGCACAATTTCTTTGAAAAAAAGTCTAATTATATTCGTATTTTTTCATTTATTTTTTTCAAAATCAATGTCAATTTTAAAGCACAAAACTGTCGTTGAAAAATATAAATAATAACACAAGATAATACAAATAACACAAGTATTTGATCAAATAACCCGAATTATTTAGTAATAGAATTGTTCAATGTCATGGTACATAAGGGTTTGGTTCCAAATTGCCGCTTTTCATTTATTTTTTTTAGACTCCCATCGTTTTTTATAAAATCGACAAGAATCCCTTAGTTTTTTCTATTTTATTTTATACCAATTTTTTCAATATATAATTTGATATTTATACATTTTATACAACTAACCAAGACATTCCATTGATTTTTTAAAATCCACTCATTATTTTTCAAATCTGCCGGGTTTTTACTTGATTTTAGGTCATAACCAACTAACGTCAATCGGCATTTCACATTTTTTTTTAAATAGTGTCAATTAATTATAGTACTCCTATGTCTTTTTTTAATCGGTAAAAAAACACATTTCTATGTTTAATAATAATTTGATTTAAAATACTTATTTTATTCTTAATAAAATGATTTCTAACAACATAAATATATATAACTTATTGCAGACCACAAGTTTCAAAAATCTATCTTTCGTTCTTATATTAATTAACTCATATAAATTAGGCCGGAGGAAGTAATATTTACAAATGCCGAGGAAAGCCGAAAACAAGGATGACCTTTTGTGTCTGTAAATGTGCTGAAGCAAACATATCTACAGTGCCAACCTAATTGCCTTATCCTCATTTTCCACTTTACTCATAATTCTTTTCTGGAATCATTCAATACATCTTATTTTTTTTCATTTATTCAAACTTACATACTATTGCATCGTATAGTTGGTATAGTATTTGAATTTTTAACCTAATAGTCGCGTGTTCAAATCCTGCAATATTTTATGCATCGTCGCATTTAAAGATGAATCTTCAATTTTTTGATTCTTTTATCGTTGTGAATCACTTGGATAAACGTAGTAATTCGTGAAAGGAGAGTAACATAATGTAAAAAAACTAGTAGATATATGGTGAACCTAAGGCACATTCTTTAAGACTTACATATATGGTAATAATATTAATTCCTAGGTCGGCGCAGAAGTGCATTTCGGCCTTCCACTTGTAATTTATGATGTACAGACTATACTATAGCTGTACCTAATATTCGAAAAATTAAATCACATGTATGCGCCGACATATTATATATGTTCCATCCAACATTTTAGAAATTTCGAATAGATTAGGTGTGTTTTTTGAATTTATCAGTAATAATTTCGAAATTATTATCACTTTTTATTTTTTTATTTTGATAGTTTAGATTTGCTACCAACTCGATCTAGACCTATTTACATGATTAATTAATCTTCTTCCATATGGCATTTTGTTTTCTTCTTGTGGCAATTTTAATTCTCCAGGCAAATGACTATATTGTTAATTCCGTAACGATTAAATGGTGCATAACACAACTAATATGTGATAAAAGTACTCTTCTAGTTTTAAAATAATTGATACATATTTTTAGTTTGTCCAAACACCCTTAAAAAAGTACTCACTCCGAATAAGTAAAATGTATTTTTATTAATTTATCTTTCATAAATATTTTGAAAACAAGGTAATCTGTTAATAATTATGTAAAAAATGGAATAATATCATTAATGTTTTCTTGATTATACTATGAAATATCACTTTTCTTTTAAATAAAATTAAGAAAATAATTAAAAACACACTTATTTTGAAATAAAAAAAATATTAGCGGAGATTGATTTTGTGCATAAAAAGAATTAAGAGTTAGGAATTAGGTCATTTTTATTGATGAGTCGTGTGAAAAAGTTACGAAGAAATAAGAAAGGTCGGTCCGCCTCTGTCGACCCACCAAAATAAATTAGTAAAAATATGCTATCTGTCAATGGAAATTGAGACATGCTTGCCAACAATCAAACAAAATCTAAGCTTTTACTCTAATTTTATAACCCCTCAATATTCAAAACTATCAAATATATTTTTTGAGTTTCATTAGATACAAAGAAAATCTCCCCTTTCTATCATTTCATTGCTAAATATCACTCAATTTCTTTAATAAACTCGATTTATTAGAAATCAATATATCATGGAAATTAGAAATTGTGGTGGAGTGGTAATTAATCTACTACAAAAATAACATTTAACGGCAATAAATATATACATTAACAAAGAGTGATAAAGCCTTTACCGACATTAGTTAATTGTCATTGGATCCAATGTCCCTATAGGCTTAGGGACATTTACAAAGAGCGCTAAATGCCGCTAAAAATACATTTTTAGTGGCAATTAAGCTATTGCCGTTAATTAGTTGCGGCGCTAAAGATCATTTTTGATGTAGTATAAATACTCTGTCATCTTTAATCATAGGTCTTGGGCTTGAGTCTTTTTCAGCACAAAGCCGCCTTTAGGACTTCCCGGTGTGAATTGATCCGGATATAGTCAGGCTCCAATGTGGATGTCGGGCACCGGGTGGAAAACCAAAAAAAAATAATCGATTTAAGCTTGACCACCATGCCATGAGCTATCAAATTAGTCCTTTCTTATTTTTATAATTGTGATGTTTAGATGGCAAGTATAATTGTGATGTTTAGATTAGCTTGCCATCTTGATTAATTTTATGGAGTACTTCTACTTTCCACCGATATATATACCGGGCAACTATATCCTTACAAGTGTTTAAACAGGAAAATAAGGTAGCAAAATAACAATGGACAAAGTACATTCAATAATGAAGAAAGGAAGTTGACCTTCCAAGAGTTAAAAAGGAACATAAAACACTTGAGAATCATAAAATCAAACTAAATTAACTTGTAGAGTATGTTGCTTTCTTTTGCAAAAGAATTGCCATCCTCCCAAGTAATTAGCATCTAATAATCTCAGGATCCTGTATGAACACGAGATGTTTTGTGCACTGGACTTCCTCCACGTAGAACTAAAATCCAAACCATACAAAAGACAAGAAGGGAAAACTAATAGTAGTGAAATGATCTTTTTTACTTTGGTGTAGAACCCAAAAATCCAAGCTGATAAGCCAAAACATCCACATGATCTTCCTCATTTTCTCCTTCAAGTAAATTGATCTCATCTTCAATATTTTCATTCAACAAACCCTCCCAAAATCCTTCATGATCAATAGATTTATTCTCAATATTATAGTCTTCTTCAAAATTGATTGTGTTCTCACTTGGTCCTCCTTGCATGCTCATACCAAGTGATGTCTCCAATTCAAGATCATCAAATCCATTCATTTCACCATAATAATATTCATGAGGTTCCATCTTTATATTGAAATTTTCATCACTATTATTAACACTATGGTCTAATTCTCCAACAATATTACTAGGACCTTGATGATGATCAATTTGCCTCCTTCTCTTATTCCTAATTTCTTCTTCAAGTTCCTTCCTTCTTTCCTTTTGTTGCATCATTTGCTCCAAAAACCTTGGATTTTGCATTGCTTTAGCCAAGAAATTCATCATTTGTTGTTGCTTTGCTTCTGTCCTCTTAAGCTTTTCTTCCATTGATTTGATGTGTGATTTTGTAGTTTGTTGATGTTGTTTAAGCTCTACCAATTCCATCATCAAATCTTTCTTCTCACGCCTTAATCGATCAATTTCTCCATCTATCTCAAGCTTTCCCAATTCAATATAAGAGTCTATACCTTGATTTGAACCTTGTCCAGGATGGAAATTACTTGTTTTTCTCCTTCTAATTGTTTTCAAGAGATGCCTTTGCCCCCTCAAGAAACCTTCATGAGCAAACTCCCATTGGTCTGGATTAACCTTCCTAAATCCCTACATGATAATTCACATTGCTAGTAATATTTATCTATTAGGGAAGAGAAAGAAAAGCAATCATAATAGGATTTAACTTATATATATTGATCATAGTAGAGGTAATTTTTATATTATTGAATTGTTACTATCGTTATCTTTTAGCTGACATGATAGTATAAAAAGTCTTTTACATAAATTGTCGGGTATAATAGTTAAACTCATAATGTAATTGTCTTTGTGCATTCATACAAGAAATATTGTTAGGAGAAACTACATAAACTAATGAAATGTTGTTGCTGGACAGAAGTTAATTGGAATTGGCTCATGAGTTGTGGTAATGTTAACTATACATAAGAAAATGTACATTTTTTTTTGTTTATAAGTGAAGATTTCACTTCCTTGATTAGAGATTGAGTTGTAGATACATGTGTATAAGTTCTCCAAACTTCTATGTCTTTCCATTTTAAAGTCAAATTTGATTTATTATTTCTCCACAATATATACTTTAAACAAAAGAAACAAATCTAGTGCAAGTTGCCAATAAAGGGAAAAAAGAATCTAGTGCAAGTTGCAATTTCAAAATTCAAAGTATTCACTAGAAGCTTCACAAACATGAGAAAACTCTAGAGCACTATAAATATCAACAATTATATAGTATATATCATTATGTAAAACACATCAAGTTTTTGTCTTTCTTGTTCCCTTTATATATATAAGTATTTTGTGTGCTAGCTCATATATACTATTTTTGAGTTGGCTAGAGAATTTAAAATAATGCTTACATAAGTATTGAGCTGCCTGACAAAGCTTGAGAAATTGCTATGCTTGAAGTACCTTGGAAGAAGATTCATGGCAAAAGTTTGAGGATCCCAAACAATGAAACTATTATTACCTATACTCCAAGAAACAACATTATTGGTGTTTTGATCATCCACAAACTCATAAGTCTTTGTTAGAAATGGTGGAGGTCCATTCTCATGAAGCCCCTCCATTGGTTGAGGAATCCACATACTAGGCTCATTAGATCTAGGAAACTCTTCTTTTATTGGGACACCAAAATTAGGATCCATATAAATCTTGATCTAACAAGGGGTATACTAGAAAGTTAAATCTTGAATAAAGGAAAATATGTTTAATTAATGTGTTTTGAAAGTTCAAAGAGAGTGTTGTTAGCTAACTACAACATCTTTGGGAGATTTAGGGTTTGGGAGTGAGGAGAATCAAGATTTAGATGAAAATGAGAGAAAGAGTTAATTTTCCAAGAAAATGGAGGATATAGAGAAGTAAAAAGAGTTTGTAAAATTAGATTTGGATTTAGATTTGGAGGAGAAGGAGATGGATTATTAATATGTTGTATTAATGGAGGTCAAGAGTGAGAGAGAAGAGAGAGATGTTAGGTCATAGTTTGATGAATATAGGTTTTGAAAATAATAATAATAGTTTATGGTATGGTCCTTAGATATTTTTAGTACCTTTTTGCTTTTTTTAATATGGAGTAACCCTTTTGGGAAGGTCTTGGTAGGAGGAGAGTTTATTTGTTCATTGAACCTAAAATGGTAGATAAAACTTGTGTACTAATTTAAATTCTTTATAATTAGTTTGCATCTTTCTCTTTCTGGTCAAAAGTAGTAATAAAAAATTATAACATTTTGAATTGTCTCAAATTCCTTTTTATGGTTGCTTGCTTGGATTCTAAATTTGACCTAGAATGAAGAGGTACCTTAAACTTGTATATTTGTTTTGTGAACTTATTGAATTAGGATTGAGAAAAATTAGGTGTTTTATTCATAAATTAGGTCGAGACAAAATGGACAGATTAATAGATATAAACGGTCTAGTTTTCAATTTAATAAGTCAAACAACGATTGCTTCACTTATTATTTTGATATTACTTAAGTCAAAAAATTTAAATAGTAAAGTGATTTTAGTTCAAATTTTTATTTTTGTCAAAAAGGTTGTACATGAAACAATAGTTGGAGGGAAATGATCAAAGAAGTCATGATATTTTCAATTCTATTATACTCAACATCCAAAATTTTCTTAAAAGTCTAGTATTTAATAATTCTTGACAGGAGGAAATTGTAACTTATTATGATTTCTTCTTTGTTAAGCTCTTTGCATAAAAAAATTACTTTTCCAAATCAACCTTGCTTCTTTACAAAATTAACTATTGCACTAAATTATAAGATTAAGTTGTGTTTGGTACGAAGAAAAATATTTTCTTTAATATAATTTAGTGATTTTAAAATTTCGTTTAAGACATTTGATAGACAAACAAAAAATTATTATCACAAGAATATCTATATTGTCATCCTGAAAAATATTATGGGTATAGGGTGAGGTGGCATGGGGTGGTCCGGGGAGAGGAAGGGGGAGTGATCGAGAGGAGACGCTGAGGAATTGAAATGTTATTTATAAAACTTGTTTTCTCTATTTATTTTTCTAGTTTTTAATTAATAACCTTATTTTTTTAGAAAAAAATATCTTGAGCAATCAAATCGAAATAACAAACGTCAACTTTGAGGTGTAATTGTTATGGGTGTCCAAGCGTGTTTTTGAGTTTAGGTAACTTACTTCATTTTAATCCAAAATAAATTAATAGGAAAAACTCTGACATTAATATTTTCCATAAATAAAAAGGCAATATTGGAGGGCATATATAATATGAATTCATTAATGTAACCTTCATAAATGCAGCTAATTAAAACATTTCTTTATTCCTTTATCACTATTTTTTTTCCTTTTTAGCCAAACAGTGAATAAAATTCCAGAGATTTCTGGAGCTAGTTATTCATCTGGACCCCAGAAAAAAAAAACAACATTTAACTGGAAATTTTGTTCTCTTATGATATTATTACATATATCTTTTTCCTTGTCTTTTCACAAAATGGGCCACTTGCAGATTTTTAGGTAGTGGATATGGGAAATTTGGCCTGCGGAAATCAAAATTTCAGATGCAGTAATATGGTAAATACTAATGTTGGTAAAGACTTTAATGTGAATATTTATTATCGTTAAAAATTATTGTGTAAGAAACTATCAATATTAAAATTGCGAGTACCAGGGGTGTAGCTATGTTATAGTCAGGGTGTCCAATCGGACACCCTTCGTCAGTAAATAACTTCATATATATAAGTAAAATGATATACGAAGTGATTAAATAACATATCCTGGACACTCTTAACAGAACAAGGTGGTGTAGTCTAGTAATGTTAGATGTCTTGAAAAAGCATGTGCTTAGTATGCCACATGTTCAAATCTTACTAGCAATTTCACTTTTTTAAAATAATCTTTTTAAAATTTATGATTCTGCCACTAACGAGTACCTACTCAAAATAAGAAGGTATAGAAATTAGGGATGGAAAAAGATGAAGTTTTTGTTTTTGACAGAATATTATATCTTATGAAAATATATTGTAGTAAAATGTTGGTTGGAAATATCTTGCATATGTCCCAAAAGTAAGGGAAATATCTTGGACACTGGACATTACTATATTATATATGTGCTAAATCAAAATAAAGTTTGAATTGACAGGTGCTACTTTACGTTATTTTATATTATTAAAGGGTCCACTATTTTGATTGCAAACATCTAGAACTTGCATTTAGCAAATGATTATTTTTGCCTACTTTATAATATAGTATAATAATATAAAATATAAATATAATATATTGGAAGAAACAAATTACTCATAAAATTTTCATATTATTTCAATTGACGTGGTTCTTTTCTTTCCATTAATAACTCTAGAAACAATTGGGATTACAAGTTAATATGGTGGCAAATAATTTTAAGAAGGGTTTAGATATTATTGTTTGGTGTATTTACATTTTGCTTCTTTTTCTTTTAGGGAAAATGGATAAATGTACTTCTGAACTATCGTAAATGATATACAAATAACCTTCATCATACTTTTGAGACTTTGGTGCCCCTATCGTCCAAACACTAGAACATATTTTCCCTTCACTCTAACGAAAGACCAAATAGGGACATGTGACACAATCCTATGGAAGGACCTGATTTGACCAATTAATTAAATCCAAATTTTAAAAATCCACCCATATCCACTTAACCCACCCATATAACCCATCCAAAAACCTAAAAAAATCCCCAATTCCTCACACATAAGCTCACACAAACAAACCGAATAACCAAAAAATATGAACCTATCCACAATTTCTTGCTTTCTACGAATATTATGTTTAGTAACAAAAAAATAAAATAAAAATTAATATGTCTACTTATATTAATCCAGAAAGAACAAAAGGTGAGGACAGCAAAGGAAATAAAAATCAAATGTTGATCAAAAGTGTAATAATAATCATTAGTCAAATTGATATAGAAAGTGCTAGTATTGCTAGTTGTTATGGACACGGCCCCAAAGCCCATAATTGGTCTTAGGTCCATATGAATGGTCGTATAAAAATTTCCTCTCGGTTACATTCCTTTCCTTTTTCGGATATATCTCTCCTATTGCGTAATGTATCATTCACAATTTATAAGCTATGTATCCGCAAGTTCCTGATGTATCCGAAATTCTATAACTTTAAAGAATTTTTGTAATTTGAAAAAAAATAAAGATAGAATGTAGTTAAGTATTACGATTTATCTTCTGAGTTACGTAATATCAAATTTCAAATGTTGTCTTATATAAATATGGATTATATCCAATTTATTCTTTTTTGCCTTTCTCTTCTTTTTTTTTTAATATGAAATTAGCCTTAAAGTGTTTGTGCTTCTCATCTTCATAAATTTATTAATATGAAAGATTGCCAGTCCTCCATCCATTAAATTATTTAACTCTCGGATCAAAAGTGTCAAATTTATGTTATGAGATTGAGGATACAATATTTTTCAATAAAAAATGCTATTAAATAATCTATTTGATACATATCTAAACTAGGTAAGATCTAATGAAAAGAAAAGTGTTATAAACAATGACGAATAATTATAATCTAACACGCTATTTTAGACAAGAATATGATTATGTATGCAAAAATCCTACAGCTTTAACAAATTTTATATGATAAACCCATATTTTAAATTTAATAAATTAAATGTTAAGAACTTTAAATTGTTGAAACTTGAAAGTATCTAATTTAACTCTTTAATCAATATACAATTTAAGCCAATAATTTTATTTATTTTTCCCTGATAACTAAACCAAGAAAACCTTGACAGGTGTTAACAACATTACAACATCCACCAATCCAAAGATTTGATGGGAAGTGACACACCTAATTGTCTGCAGAAAAAAAATTAATATCAAACTTTATTTGATGGGAGTACCAATTAATATCACTTTTCATTTTTCCATTTTGCACGGTACTTCAAAAATCATATTTAAGAAGATGATTTTATTAACTCATTTCTTAAATTTTTTTTGGAATTATTTATAAATAAATGTGAACACTAATAAAAAGAATTACTAGTTGCAAGGGTAATATAGAAAAAAATTAATTAAATACTTCTTGATTTAGTAAGATGATAAACTAATATGAAATAACTATATTTAATATAATTATCAACTAATATGAGACAGAGAAAGTAGTATTATTTTTGCTAAATTAAAATTCCAGTTGAAAGTTAATGAATCGAGTTACCTTGCAACTTAAATTTCACTTTAAAAAAAAAAAAGACTAGAATTTTCCGATTGAAAATCGAGTTACTTTTATTTATTCAGATAATTTTTAACATTTCAAGACATTACAAAAAAAGTCGAATTACAAACGCATGATAATATCGTTCATGCCCCATTTGTTGGCTGATGAATGAAACAACAACAACAACAAAGTCTCGCCTACTAGACAAAACCATGCCCCATTTTTAACTGATACACGAAATAACAATAAAAATAACTATGCCTCAGTCTCAAACTAGTAGAGACGGCGACAAAGGGTAAGTCCATCACCAATTGAAAGTTGAGACATTTCAATTCTAGGATCATTAGCTAAAAAAGTGTTGATCTCTCTGACAGCTCCCCTCAATGCCTTTAAGCCTGGTGGCATAGGATCATTCTCTGAAAGTGCAACTGTTCCATACCATAAAGTGTTATCATAGCCAAGTACTCCTCCAACTTTCACCAATTTTAGTACAATCTCATGGTATTTCAAATAGTTCTCCTTATCAGCATCAATGAATATG